CGAGATTGAAACATTCTTTTGAGCTGAAATTTTCAGGGCATTCTATTGGTACATAGACCTATCTTTGGACAAAATCTCAGCTCGAAATATTGTCATTCGATTTTTTGGTATATACTGTGCCATAGGCTAAAAATCCAGTAAAATGTCTATAACTCTGGACAGAAGGCCTATGGGCACTTATCCTTTTGGGGCTTTTCATACCTCACTGGGGTCTATCTTTCACACTGAGTTCGAACTCAAAAGCGATTGGACAGTTGAAAAGGTTCCCTCGTCAGACCGATAAGTAAAGGTCACAATTACAAATGCACATTCACACCCACATCACGACACAACACTGTAAATTTGACCATATTTCGTACACAATATGACTCTCATGGCCAGTGTGTTCCGAATGCATGAGGTTCTAATATCTTCACTAAATCTTTTTAATCCGTCTAGAAAGTTGCTCCGAAGGTACGAAATGCCTTTTTTTCTTATTTAGATTCAGGAGCAAGGACGACCAACACATTTCTGAGAGCAACTTGGCAGTAATCATAAAAGAAAGCGGGCATAATTGACTATTACTTATAGAGCAGCGAATGTCGCGTCAGACTCGGACTTTGTAAACAGGGAATTTTCAGACTACACACCAGCGGTCTGCTTCGAAAGTGATGAACTCTATCCTATGTCCATCAGCCACACCGCCCATATAATTCGCGCATCTACCAGTCTGGAAAAACTGGATGAAAGAAATCTGAATAGGGAAAAAATTGGATTGTATGAACTCTCAGCATGAAGAAACAGAGTGGACGAGAACTAGACAGTGAAAACATTTGATTGGCTAAACTCCTATCACGAAAAATTCTAATTTCAAATAAATTAGCTGAACTCCTCCAAATATATGTGTACAGTGACTTTACATCGGCAGGCAAACAAACCAGCATGCAAACTAATTTTGTTTCATATGATCCTCCCTTCAGTCGAGAAAATAAATACAAACACTATATAGAAATAATCATTTTTTTCTTTTGTATTCAAATCAATTATTGTTTTACTACATCGAAATCAAGCAAGAACATTAGCAAATTCTGGAAAATTGAGTTTATTAGTATCACCTTTGAAGAATGAAATTTTTCAATAAAGCGTTTTATTAGACAAAAACAAACTAAACACAATCTTGTAGGATAACATCAGCAAGACATTCGGCTAGAGATTTAATGCAACTTCACGTATATCTAAAAGATCTTCGAAATTAATAAATCCAAGTGGTGGACTTCTTTTTGCTAGTTCTTGAAAATGAATATACAAGAGTTGAATTTGTTTCGGTGTAAAGTCTAAAATAAACTAAATTTCTATGAAAGGACCTGATCAGAAATCATCGAGACTTTCCTCAATGTAAAAACATTATAAAATGAAAATATCTTAATATTATCCAACAATCTTGATGTCAGTTTATTAAGGCCTTGGCCCTTTTGTGGACAAAAACTCTAAAAAAAAAGTTAAACAGCTAACGAAGGAAGTCTTCAACTAATCAATTGTTTGTTAAGTCAGGACTAGGCGCTTCATGCAGGCTTTAATAAGCTATGAATAACCTTCAAAGAGTTTGGAGTTTTACCTTATTGCTGTTGAGGTACTGAATTTTTACGATATTTTTTAGTGAAATCTCGTAGTCTCCGTCAGAGACACAAGGAAAACTGAATGTCGAATTTCAACTTGAACTTTTGCGTACAGATAGAGCTTAATGAGAATAGTTCATTGTCAAACTTCCAGATCTTTTCATTGTTCCTATCTCAATATAAGAACATTGAATAAACCGGTATATATGAGCGATGTTAAAATCACTCTTTTATCATAGCTGTAAAATAGAATAGGAACAATGATAAGATCTGAAAGCATCATAATGAGCTATTCTCGTTAAACTCGTTCTCTGCCCAAAAATTCAAATCTAAATTAGAAATTCAGTTTTCTCGGTATCTCTAACAGAGAACATTGCATTATGCTAAAAAATACTATAAAAAATTCAATAGCTAGGCAACAATAAGCTAAGGCCTTAAACATTTTGCAGGTTATTCGTCGCTTATTAAAGTCTGCATGGTGCACATAGTCCCAATTTAACAGACAATTGATCAATTGCAACAATATCCTTCGTCAGTGGAGCCCTGCATCGGACTCGGAGTCACTAAAAGAAATTTTTTCCGAGTCAAAGTTGGAGTTACATCATTAAATCAGTCAAATATCTTTACTTTTATATAGCAACTAGTTTAGGCTTCATATGTTAAATAGTACACAAAAATATATTACTTAATAAATTCATAAATAAGTTTCAACAAAAAAACATCAGAGAAATCTTCATTAACAAGTAACACAAAGCGAAGTACATAGTGGTTCCTAAAATTGATCGTACATATTCAATTTCGTTTTTTTTCCATAATGGTCACTCACATAAAGAATCTAAATAGTGATTTGAATTGAGAAGATTGTTTTTAACAAGGATTCGAGGAAAATAAAATCTTTCCAGTATTCTCAAAATCCAGAATCTCGCAGAACAATAGAGCAACTGATTCTATACAAAGTGACATGTCTCCAAGCTCTACACGACATTTTTTTGACGGAACCTACATCAATATTAAGAAACACTCAAAAGTAATTTTTTCACCATCTCATGAAGAAAAACTGAATAGAAAAGACTGTTGAGCTTTTCTTAAAATTTATGTAGTTCAGTCAAAAAATGTCGTGGAGAGCTCGAAGACATGTCATTTTGTAGAGAATTGGTCTGCTAATCTGTGTAATCAAAAGAAGCTTATATTTTCAGGTTCTGAGGACAGAACAACTAGATTTCGTACATATTGTGAAGATTTTAGTTCCCTCAAATACTTGTTGGAAACAATTTTCTTTATCCAAGTCACTATTTTGATTTTTTATGCGAGTTACCATTACAGAATAAAATCAAAATTAAATTTATATGATTAATTTTTGAAATCACTGTATATACCAATCAAAAAATATTTTTCGAAGTCAGAGTTGGAAAAAACTTAACTCCGCACGGTTCTATTCGTCAGTTGTCTAATTTTTTTTGCAAGAGTGCATCGCGTGTCTTGATATTCCTTAAGTTTTTGTCCAAAAGAGGAATAAAATGTTGATAAATTGACATTCAGGTAGAGTCGTATACTGTTACTTTTATTTTATAATCTTTTCAAAATGAGGAAAGATCTGATGATTTCTGATCAGATTCTTTTATATAAAAAAAACAAAATTTATCAATTTCTTCACAAATCATTTGTAATTTCTCCTGCGACAAGAATTTACTTTTATTCGATCTTATGATTATAAGTATTTATAAGACGATCATATACGTCAATAGTCTAAAACATTTTTTTTTTATTCTTAAAAAACCTATGAATCGATTATGATCATATTGATGTAATTCATTCATTTAGCTGTAAAACAACAATAAAATCCTTTAGCCATTCATTAATAAATTCGTCTCAAACATTGCAGCAATAAAAGAAAAAGAAAAACCATTGACATATGTTATGTATTTTGCTTTTAAATAAATTTTATATTTGTATTTTTAAACAGAGATTTTTATTTCTTTCATTACATACAAACGCATATACATTACATAAAATAAACGGCAACTTGCAACGATAAATGAAATGAATCAAAAGAAAAAACAATATAGGAGTAATAAATATAAATCAAAAAACAAAAAAAAAGGATTTCATACATCACGATTGAATTTTGCTTAAAAATAAAAGACAAAACAAAAAATAATTGATTACGGATTTGTATCAATGTAATATTCCTCTGTTTTTTTTTTCATTTAAGATAAATATAAAATCAAAGCAAAAGTAAGCCCTGTAAACATAGTTCACATAGAATAAAAAATAATTTTAGAGTTCATCAATTTCATATTTTATTTTTTAAAAATGAAAAATAATTTTAATTTGTGCGTCTTTTTTTGTTCTATCTGACAAAAAAAACATATTCATGTTGGACGGGGAATAAATGGGATGTATGAAATAAAAACAAAAAAAAACGGAAAACTGTGTAATTTTATGCATTTTAATTGTGCATTTTGGATAGCTTTTGACTAGATTTGGTGTTTTTTTTTGTATATCAAAACAAAATTTTATTCATTAACAATTTCATTTCAATTGCAATATTGACAACGAAATAATAAACATCGTTTAAAATATTCACCAATTCGAGTAAATGGTATCGAACCACATTTACCAACAGGACCAATTAAGCACATAATGGTAAAAAGAAAAACATTGAAAATACCCATGATGTAAGCACTAGAAGAATAATTCAAATGAAAAAAAAATCTTTGTTTTTTTTTTAAATTAAAACAAAAAAAAATATGTTTTACATACTAATTGTCATTAAAAATTGTCCCATTTGTCGAAATGCAGTAAGCGATGATAATGTCATTGAAAATCTAGCTGCAAATGTTGTAAATGCCGCCATAAAAACAGCTGAACCAACACGAGATATTGATTCTGTTACACGTGTTTCACGTTCGATTTGTTGTTGTTTATATATTAAATGATAAGTACTCATTTCTAGAAATCAAGAAATATATTTTACTTTATTTTGTGAAACACAATCGAAAAGGAGTGTTGAAGTATATAGATTAGAAATTTGTATCCCTCACAGACCGTGAGAGACGTTATTGATATACGATTTGTGATCGTATATCAATAAAGTCTCATTATAATATATGAACTACTTCCTTATTACATTTCTGAAGGATTAAGTGAAAGGACGGTGAGGAAATGTGACCCAAAATAGATAAAATAATATTATCTTTCAGTAATTAGCAACAGCAGCTATATCGTGTTTCATATTTTAATCCTGCAGGAATTGCGATAATAGTGTTTTTTTAAAAATAGACAAGGACAACTTACTACGAGGAATTCGTATTTCCATATTATCAGGAGATTCTGTTGGTGTTGATATTGATGATAAATAATGTTGTTTTATTTTTTTTCGTTCATGATCAATATCTGCTGAATCTGTATGAATATAGCCAACAACAAAATGAACAACAAAATCTACTGAAAGACTAACAGACATAATAACAATAATAGCTTCAACTATTCCTAATTCTCATTTTAATGCAGCAAATACTGCAACACTAACAGCTAAAATAAATAAAAACAATTTTTTTTAAAATAAAAAACACCCCAATTTCTGTAAAAGAAAACAAAATAACAACTGTAGTTACCAATAACAAAAGTAATTGTAATTAAAGCATAAACTGCAATAAATAAATTGCCTGATGTAAGAAAAAGTACAAATAAAGCAATACCAAGTGATGCAATTAGAGATGAATAAGAACCAACAAGTAATTCACGTTGAACACCATAAAATGCAAAACCCGGAGAAGAAAACCATACATGTTGTAAATGTTTTGGTGCATTTTGTTTTATATATGGATCAAAGAAATTTTTTACTTTGAAATAATAATGGGTGTCACGTAAGTTCTGATCCCCTCATCAAATATTCTTTTTCTTACATGTTTCTGCATTCGAACAGACTGATATTTTCAGTATTTATACTAGATGTCTAGATCTACTCTATACTAGAATTTCACGTTTCTACTTATTTCTATTACAGTGATACAAGCATCACCAAAAATAATAAAAATTTTTGAATTGTAACTAGAACCAATTATGGACGAGAAAAATTGCATCCAGTCTATAACGGATCGCTATCCGGCAGCTTTTCCGTTACTACATGTGATTTTTCCGTTCTGTACTTGTCATAGTCGTCATGAATAGAAAAAAAATGATCTGTTTCTCTCTAACGATCTTAATGTGCAGAAACAGCGAAATGTGTCAATGAATCACATGAAACGTAGTACACTTCTCATAGTGATTAGGGGTACACAAGCTCAGCTCACGAACTCCGTTCAAACGAGCGAAAGAACTGCTTCAACAGTTCTTCTGAGCGGACTGAACCGTCTTCGAACAGTTCCTTTCAAATGAGCTGAACTGTTCGAACAGCTCATTTGAGCGAACCGAACTTTTGAAACAGCTCAGTTCACATGAGCTGAACTGTTCGAACAGCTCATTTGAACGAACCGAGCTATTTGTAGGGGTACCCACAGGTCCTCAAGGACTCCCCTATAAAGGTACTATAGGACTCCAGGGCTACTATATAGGGGACCAGTAGATCCTCCAGGGCTATCCTATAGGGGTACCCATAGGGCCCCAAGGGCTACCCTATAGGGTACTCATAGGCCCCCAAGGGTTATCCTATACGCATACCCATAGGTTCCGCACGGCTACCCTGCAGGCGTACCCATAGGTCTCCAAGGGCTATCCTATAGGGGTACCCATAGGTCCCCAAGGGCTACCA